CCAATTTTTGTTCTTATTTTTAATTTAATTTATTTATTTTTTGGAAATATACCTCTTTTATTTAAATAAGAATATATCAGTTTATAAGTCGCGTCCATAACAACGATGTATAAATATTAGCAAATACCAAAAAGAAAACTTTCCGCAATTTAATTTCTCCACAAAGCACGTTGTAACAAAGTGAGAAAAAATGTGAAAGAGCTATCAACCACGCGGTTTGGCTGGAACTAGATCGAGATCAACCCACTTTCTTTAAGGGGTGGTGGGTTATCAAAAGTGGCGCCATCTTTTGCCATAATTCGCAACTATTTTGATTAAAAAAATTTTTTTCTTTGAAAAATTTAAAATTTATTTTTAAAATATCATAAACGCCGCAGTTAAAATTTGAAAACTTTTAAACTCACAAACGCTGTGGCGTTTCTTCCATAAATTACGGTAATTCAATTTGCGGAAAAAAAATGGAAATCGGGCTGCGGTGAGACATTTTGGTATTGGGGAAAGCTCGGTGCGTGAATGGAAGAAAAATGAAGAGAAAATAATGGATATGCCTAAGGATAAGTGTGCATTGCGTACAGGACTAACAAAATGGCCGGTATTAAGAGGACAATGTAGAAAACTGGGTTTTGGAAAATCGGCAAAATGGCTTGATTGTAACAAGAAACTGATCGCTTGTTTGCTCTAAAATGGGCAAAGATTAATCCACATGAGAGTGAAAATTTCAAGGCTACCGTGAGTTAGTGTAGCCGATTTATGGCTCGAAAAAAATTTAGTTCTATGTGAAAAAACCAAAGTATCGCAAAAACTACCAAAAGACTTGGATAGCAAATTGTTAAGTTTTTAAAAATATATTATAGAACTGCGAAAAAAAAAGGAATATTTACTTTCGCAAATAGGAAATATGGATGAGACCCCAGTCATGTTTGACAGGATCAGTAATATAACAATTGATTTAAAGGGAGTCAAAACTGTCAACGTAACAACGGGACAAGAGAAATCTCATTTCATCGTAGCCCTTTCTTGCCTAGCGGATGGAACGAAACTAAAACCAATGGTTATTTTTAAGAGAAACTTTTCCCAAATGTAATTTTCCAAAAGGTATTTTTGTTCATGTCCACGAAAAAGGCTGGATGAACGAAAATGGTGTTAAATTGTGGGTAAAAAATGCCTGGCAAATCCGTCCTGGTTGCGTAAGAAAACCAGAAAGCTTTTTAGTGTGGGGCATGTTAAGACCCCACCTTACAGATAATACAAAAAAATTGTTGAAAGAATGCAACACCGATATGGCAGTTATTCCGGGCGGATTGACACCATTTGACGTCTGCTTAAACAAACCACTCAAAGCCAATTTAAAAAAACAGTGGAACACTTGGATGTTGGAGGACGAGAAAACCTTTACGAAAGGAGGACATATGCGTCATGCAAGTTTGAAAACAGTGTGTGAATGGATATTAAAAGCATGGGATGAAATAACGCCTGAGATGGTTAGGAAATCATTCAAAAATGCAGCATTTCAAATAATCTGGACGGATCAGAAGATGACTGTTTATTTATGGAAGAGGGTAACACAGATGAAGACAAAACAGATTGTGATGGCGTGCCTGAAGAAATAACGGAAGACGAATATAATGAACTATTTATGTAATAACGAAAATCAATAAAGTATATAGGTAAAGGTATGTTATTTCTTTAAAATAAAAGTATTTTTCTATATTTAAAATTTTTTAATCTATAATTTTTTATATTCGGCGTATACTGCGCACCTGTAAATTCCAATGTTATTTTTTGTATTAAAAGAGCGAGTTATATGGCCGAATATACGGTAGTTTATATTTGTAACATCAGTCACAAAAATTGTAGCATCAGTTACATGATATTTTTTCTATGTGACACTTACTATGGATGGTAGAAATTCTCTTAATAAAAAAGGCTCACATTTGTATTTTTCACTACGAAAACTCAAATTAATAGTATTTTCTAATGCCAAAACAAATACACAATTGAACAAAATTTCAAAAACAAAATAAGACTTAAATTTCTAATTTTGCAAACCTAAAACATTATAAAAATCCAAAAACTAGCAAACATGTGAAACTTGGCAAGATATATAATCCAATGCTTACTTATCCCTAAACAAATTGCACAGCAAGTTGCTTCGCCGTTGTTTCGAATATGCTTTATCATGCAGCATTTTTTCAACTGCTATATCAACATCAGAGCCAAGTCCATATACTTTTTTATACAGCACTTCATATATCATAGCTGAAATTCATAAAATGTGGATTTAAACAACAAAAGAAAAATCTCATACAATTGTAATCATTTGTTATACTTCCTTAAAAATAGTAGGGCATTATAATAAATATACTAGATAAATCTTGTTAAAAGTTATCAAACTGAAATGTGGTATAGTAAACTCTCAATTAGCCAGGGAATTTAGTAATGCTTGTTTGTTACATCCGTTGATTGTTGAAATAAATTCAGTTTGGCGATGCAGTTTCCCCTTTCCATTTCAAAAACCTATAAATCAGTGATGAATACATTTTCTGCGCAATGTATCCCTATGTTCTTTAAGCCTGGGTAATACTAGAATACATATATACTGCATAAAAATACTTCATGTTTATCTGGCACTCCAATTCAATTTGATGTGAAATTATGCAGAGGTTTTCAATTTGATGTGAAATTATGCAGAGGTTATTACACTGCCTGTAGCAGACTAATTTGCATGAGTCACAACAAACATTAAGCTTGTTTTAACCTCCTGTTTACTGCATAGATATTAAATAATAATGATAATTTGGTACTAACTGGTTTATGGCTTAACCTAAGTAATGTTCATTTAATCATTTTTGATGCACCTAGTTATCGAGAATACAACAAATGTGAACACACTAGAATCATGGAAATAAAGAAAACATTTTACTTACACTGAGAAAAAGCTAAAGTAGACAAATCACATTTAGAGTAAACACAGTCATAGCGGTTGCCACCAGTGCAAGCCAATGCAATCTGAAAATGACATACGCAATGTATTACAAAATTAAACGATAGTTAGCATTTTGTAGTTGTGAGAGAATTAAAAACTTACAGTTTGAACTGGAGAGGGAACCTGTATTTTTAGGGGAGGTTTTGTGGGATCATAATAAACTACAAAGTCTAGTCTGAAATAAAAATAAAGAATTAAAACAATGCCTAAAACAAAATTAAAAAAAGTTATAAATGAATTTAAATATTAGCAAACAGGTAGAATCCTTCTCAAAAATTTTTTTTTAAAAAAATTGCCTCTGAAAAAAAAAGGTATTTTAATTTTTCACTTTAAAAAATTTATATACACAATCTTTGGAGTGAATTATGAAAATAGTGAAAATTGTTTTGTTTTATAGCAGTATTTGTTCAACAGTGGAAATCTGGAATGACAATTTGATAGTGTCTTAATGATCAGTTCACCAAATGAATAGACAAATTAAAACCATAATACTAGATAATTATCTTAAATTTAAAACTTACTTATATTTTAAGGACAAAGCTTTCATTTCTAGTTCTCCCACCCATTCCTATAAATAGAAAAAAAAAAACATTTTTAGAATGCATGTTACATATCTATAGCAAAAAACATCTTATTTCAAAACTTTTGAATTTATTTTAAATGCATAATGAGGAAAAATGTATGAAGGATCATGCAATAAATTGCATTGTGTCTTTCTATTGCTTCCAAATATTTAAAGAGAGGATTATGTTAGGTCCATTTAACAAGATGAGGTTTATATGCAGTAATTAAAAAATATATATAGTTTATATAAGAACATTAGAAAAGATTAGTGTTGCATTTACAGTAAATATTGCTGCAACTTTTTTGTTTATTATACTCTCTCACCTATAACCTTTCAATGACTACGGAATTTCTGTAGTATCAGAAAATATTTTTCTCGTGGTAACAAAGATAAAATTATAATAAAGTATACTCTCAATATCTCAAACACTTTGTTATGTCAAAAAAAAAAAAAATTTTTTTTTTCTCCCCTTGGCATTAAATATCCACCAAATGTTAATTTGAATTCCCAAAAACCTTGCTATGTAGTTTTTTTCGAAAGAGAAAATGAAATTTTTGAGGAAAAATCATAATGTAAGTTTATTGTAAGCCAATTCGTATCAATTTAATGCATAATTACTTTTGTCTTATTTTTAAAAATAAAATCATAATTGTGTTTAGACTTTTAGTCAACTATCATTTAAACACATTTATTAGTAGTTGTTCTTATGTTCATTTTAGAGCAATACTTCAGAATATATTTTTCTATTTTTTAGAACATATTTAGTTCTGAACTTGCTATCTCAAATTTTTTTAGCATCCCTTCAACTTTGAGACATCAAAGTATACTGTATTTTAATAAATTAGAATTAAAATAATTTTTCTCCCCCAGTATGTATAAATAATTTAAACAGTCATATATAAAAGGCCAGATACATAAACATTAAGAGCATGGCCATTAGTCAAAGTTTTATTATATTTTTCTATTCTATTTGCTAAAAAAATTCTGTTTTAGTTCACAACCACTGGATAATATATTTTGTTCACACCTTAAATGTTGAAGGGCATGTATGATATTTTACATTAAATTTAAGTTTTCTTTTATCATACTTTTTATTCTTTGAATACTCTAACTGATAGAATATCAATTGACAGCTCAATATATTTAAAAAAAAGATAGAAATTAAAGTGTTTGGCAGGGACTGCGGTGCCGAGGGTGACCTTTATATTAAATAAATGTTTTATATTTTATAGATGCTAAATATTTAGCTCCCTTATATTTTATAAATGAAAGGGCTCAGCCCCCTATAATATTAACATTTCTCAATAAAAAATTTTTGTGTAAAATTTAAAAAAAAGAATTTAATTATTTTAACCAATTTTATGACTTAGTTTTAATGTATGGATTTACTAAATGAATACTCAAACCAGCAATATTTTATTTTATTTCAAAGATTGAGATTTCTTTTCCTTGAATATATATTTCTACTTAGATTTATAATGTTTGAATAGATAACGTTCATCTGAGTTGCTCTTATAGGGTTGTCTGAGGTATTTTGCAACTAGTCCGCAGAAGTTGCTACAACATTGCCTGCATGTCAATGTCTCCCCGAAGAAAATGTGATAATGTCTATGATTTCCATTTTTTTCTTTAAATTTATATTTTTGATTGATGCTATCTTTGGAGGATTCCTGGTGCTTTTCGATGATTTGTTTTTTAAATAGGCTCCTGCTACTCCCTGGAATTTTGGGAATAGTCAGGTATTTTACACTAAATTATATTTTCTTAAATTAAATTAATTTTCCAGTCATAACATTAGCAACTTGGTGCTACCTTAACTTAGAATATATGTTATATTTCTTTTAAATCAATATCTTTCTGCATTTTATATTTAATTATGCTTTATATACATACATAACCCCGCTCACTTTTAAAACACTTTAACAATCACTAGTGTTTGGTCTATTAGGTTAGGATAAATAGCCCTCAATTGTCCCTTGAACTTTCACAGACCTTCTCAAAAACTTAAAGCAATAAAAATCATGCCATTATTACTTTTAGATGGGTAAATAAAAAACAAATTTTTTGTTTTTATATTTTTTAAAATATATTTTTAGAGTTGCATTAAATAGTGAAAAAGAGTTTAATATCATAAAAATTTTTTCCAACCATATTACATAAAAATAAAAGCAATGATAGTTTTCAAAAATATAAAATTAGAAAAAAAAAATTCATTGAAATTCTAGAATAATGCACACTATATATATCACATCAACCTACATCTAGACATAGACTTTTGTAAGATGTATTGATCTCGACTAATACATTACTTTTAATATAATTAGACACATATGAATGGATTCCTAGGGAAATGTTAAAAAAATTTTAAAAGATAAAACTACATTATTTTAGCAATAGAAAATATAAAAATTATTTTTTATAACATTGAGGAGTCATAACAGACAAAATACCTTAGGATCTTTTATTTTTTCCAAGTAAGCGTCAAAATCTTCATTCACATGCTAAAAAAATTAACAAAAATATGAATTTTATAAAAATACATTTTCATTATCAATTTTAATTAATATCTACATAAAACTTTCTTTAACATGAACATTAAAATACATAAAAAAAGAATGTAGATAAGATTTTTTCTTAAAATCTGAATAATTGAATGGCTACAAACATTAAAGATTTTTTAAAATTATTGACTTCATTAGAATCAGGGTTCTCAAGTTTTTACTAATATTAACCATCAATAGAAGTAACAAAGTAGGTTTGTCAAAGGTTATTAAAAGTAGGTTTATCAAAATCTTACTTAAATCACTTGCACATTTGTATTGCATAAATATTATTAATTTTAAAATTATAAAGATTTAACATGTGTCCTGACAAAACCTTTTATTACATTAAAAAATAGATTAAAATCTGAACCACAATTGCTAATTAAATCTGAAATTGCTAATGAAGCTCTTTATTAACACAGTAGCATAAAAAAGCACAGTATAGAGAATAGCCGCAAGTAGAATAATTGTTTTTTCAAAACACAAAAGTGATTTTTTCTCAAAGGCAGAGGCCCTGCCCTTCTTGATTCTTAGGGAGAACTCATTTGGTTAAAATGTACACAATAAGAAAAAAAAAATGAACTCATGTAATTTAATATAACAATACAAAATATTTCCTAGCTCAGATGATAACTCAGAATTTATAAGAAGCATAACTTTTATATAATTATCCTTTTATTATTCAGACACATTTACATATTAAATTGAAATATTAAACACACAAAAAACTTCATATACAAAATGATTTTAAGACTCATCTTAAGTGTCAGATAGTTTGAAACAAATTGTTGATGGTTGTTTGATCAAAAATAGTTTTTGACATGAAAAATCATGAGTATTTTGGACAGTAACATGTCATTATTAAGGTGAATAATTAAGTACAAAATTAACTTACTAATTTTATGTTTTTTTGTAACAAGAAATTTAGATTAAATTTAGTCAAATAAAAAAATTACACTAATGAAATAAGTATTTAATACCAATAAATATTTCAAAAAATTAATTGCATTAGTAAATTTTAATCCCCCCTTTACATAAAGATTACATAATCTAGAATAAATTTTATTATTAGTATTAAATTTTAGTATCTGCTTATTCTAACAGATCTGAAAAATAAAATTTTCATAATAATCTAAAAATTAAAAAAAAAAAAAAAGAAAGAAATTAGTAACACTTTTATACAAATTAGTTTTATAGAAATAATGCTAACTGATCTGTATATTTGTTTTCATATTATTTGAAAATAACAATCTTAATTTATCTATTTTTTAATAAATCTTTTTTTAATACTCAATAAACCGTATTACATAAATTGCGGAACTTTTAAATGATTTCAACAGGAATCAACTTTTAAATGAGCAATAAAAATACAAATTCCTGAGAAAAAATTCTTTAAAAACTTTATATTATATACATATACACACGCACAAACAATAGCAACAGCTTACTTTGTCAAATAAACAACGGTTTCGTTCCATGTATTCAATACATACTTCCCTAAGTTTAACATGATGAACTTGAGTGTAGAATATCTAAGAAAAAAAAAAGAATTTTTATAACAAAAAACTATATAAAACATTAGTAAATGCCTAATTTTTTTAGCTATGTAATAAAATAACTCTACTCAACATAAAGCTATAAGTTCAACAACCACATGCACACTAAGAAAATTTAAAACTTGTTACTTCTAAAATTAAACAACCACCTGTTTAATAATTAATGGATGCCTTCACAGATAAATCATTGCATACTAGATGGCTTACAACATTGCTACCATGGTCATAAGTACTTTGTATAATAGATAAAAATGCAGCACTAATCCACGATAAAGATTCCATAAAACCAGCAGAATTAATTTTTTTAAAACTAAGAACAAGTATGTGAATATGATCGTTTGCTTTCGATTTAGCCGAAAAACAGAACTAGAATTCCTAAAACAGTTCCGGTTGCCGTAAACTTAAGATTTAAACTTTTTAAAGTCGCATTTCAAAAAGGAGTAAAAATTAAGTAATAAAACAATATCTTTCATATATTTATAATTTTTTGCAGATTTAACTGGAAACTTTCAAAGAGAAATTTAGATAAAATAAATATGCTTAATTTTAAAGCAGTAAAGACAGAACTTTTACTTTTCCAACCCGATTCGCGATAGCAACGTTTGAATATGCCCTCTAGTGAGGTGGATATTTTCAGTCTACTTGTTAAGTTTTCATTTAGTTCTATTAGAATCATTGATTGAGGAGAGCTTTTTTAGCAACAAATAAGTAGCAAAATTTCCCTAAGGAAAACGTAGAAGAATTTAAAAGACGATATAGGACATTGGTAAATCATTTGGAGACAGAGCGCGTCCAACATTTGAAGGACAATTTCTCAATTTTTTTCTTTCCACTATCAATGAACCTGCAACCGATAACTTCCTATTTCGTGATCACGCACTATTCAAGATGTCCTTCCTTCCTCAATGGCACGACAGCCCCGGGTGGGCCCTGGCCTTCTCAATCAACTTCCTCCAGGCCTGCCTCTGCCTGGCAGTTGTCTTCCAGTTTGAGACTTTTAAGACTGAAAAGTCTCTTTCCACGCAGTCGGCCCATCTCAGCTTTGGTCGACCTCTGGGCCTTGATCCGATGGGCTGAGCCGAAAAGATTATGTTTGTCGGACGCTCTCTGTTCATTCGAATGATGTGACCAGCCCATTTAATTCTTTGAATTTTTACATACTTGACAACATCAGGCTCTCTAAGGGCCCGATAGAGTTCTGAGTTTGAACGTCTGTACCAAGTACCATCAACTTGTTTGCCCCCAAAAATGGATCTTAGGATCCGACGTTCGAAGATTCCCAAGGAATTCTCATCTTTCTGTGTTGTTGTCCAAGTTTCTGAGGCATATGTTAGGATAGGTCTGATTAAGCATTTATAAATTAACAGTTTAGTATCTCTTTTTAGTAGGTTTGATTTTAAATATTTTTTTAATCCATAGAAACATTTACTTGCACTATTGATTCTTCTTTGTATTTCGGGTGCGATATTGCCATTAACGTTGACTTCAGAACCAAGATAAACAAAACTGTTTACTTTTTCAAACTTGTATTCACCAATTTGCAAGTGAGTTGTAGAATCAGTTATTTTGGTGCATTGCATATACTTTGTTTTCTCCTGGTTAATAGTGAGATGCATTTTTTCTGCGTCTTTTTGCATGGATAGAAAAGCTTGCTTTAAGTCAGATTGTGTTCGCGCTATGATGTCAATGCCATCGGCAAATGCGAAAATTTGGACAGATTTATGAAAGATATGTCCTCTGGTATTGATTCCTGAATCTCTGATAATTTTTTCTAATGCCAATTTGAAGAGTAGGCATGCCAAAGCATCGCCTTGCCTTACACCATTTTTTACCTCCATTGGTTCCGAGAAGTCATTTTGGATTTTAACTTTCTGCATGGTCTTACACAGTGTAAGTGTGGTGAGTCGTACAAGCTTGTCCGGGATATTGAATTCTCGCATAGCTTCAATGAGTCGCTTCCGGTTTACACTGTCGTAAGCAGTTTTGAAATCCACAAATAGGTGGTGTGTACCGATTCCAAATTCCCTGGTCTCTTCCAGGTTCTGTCTTATGAAAAATATTTGATCAGTTGTAGACCTGCCCTTCCTAAAACCGCACTAGTATTCACCAAAGATGTTTTCTACATAGGGGCTAAGTCTGTTAAATAGAATTTTTGAAAAGACTTTATATGCAGTGCAGAGCATGCTGATACCCCGGTAGTTTGAACATTCAAGAAAGTCTCCTTTTTTGTGTATAAGACAAACAGTGCTGTGTTTCCATTCTTCCGGGAGTATCTCTTTTTCCCATACTGATGTTAGAATATTATGTATGGCCTTTAACCCATCTGGTCTTGAGTTTTTGATGAATTCTGGTGATATCAAATCTGGGACAGGAGCCTTGTTGTTAAGTTTTTGAACTGCTTCTTCAACCTCAATCATTGAAAGAGGCGCAATACACTCTTGGTTAAAGTTTGGTGAACAGAACTCTGTCTGAACGCACTCTACATTAAGTAGGTTGTCGAAGTGTTCATTCCACCTATTGAGAATGTCGGTTTTATCGCTTAAAATATCTCAATCTTTATTTCTGCAAAGGTTAGTTCCAGGTTTGAACTCCTGACGACCAAAGTTAATGCCACGAAAGAAAGCTCTGCTCTCATTAGACCCTCGGAGATGTTCGACTAATAGGACATTCGAATTTAAAAGACGATATGGGACATTGGTAAATCATTTGCAGACAGAGCGCGTCCAACATTTGAAGGACAATTTCTCAATTTTTTTCTTTCCACTATCAATGAACCTGCAACCGATAACTTCCTATTTCGTGATCACGCACCGTTAAAGATGTATGTATTTAGGTGAAATAAATTTGTTTTGTCTTCATTTCATTATAAATTAAAGGGAAGTTATTTCATTCCGATAAACAAATATGATCTTAAAACGTGCAGAATTGTAATAGTTATAGAATATTCTTCTTCATAGAATAGAATACATTTCTGTACCTATATAATGAGGAGAACAATAAAGAATTTTCCGAATTACTTAAAATAGTATCATTTATGTTGATTGTTAATAAATTTTTATCGATTTCTTGGCAAGTATTTTTTAATTTTGAATGCTTAATTTATACAAGAATTCAGCTGTTTTTTTTAAAAGTTAAATAAGCTCATTGCTTTTAAGTTGTTAAAATTCATATCGAGATCCTTCAATTATAAAATTTTATTGTGTGGTATGTCATCTTAAATTAATCCGGATTTATAAAGCAGGTAAGTTTTATGATTTATATAATAATAAGAAAATTACTTGCAAGTAATTTTTGTCTAATTTGATGATAATTCTCTACAGAATGATTTTTCTATTTCTAATTAAGAACTTTAGAACTATAAAAAAAAAAAAATTATTTTCAATAAGGAATTTTTAAAATCGTTTTTTTTTCCTAATCGTAAGCATTCTTTATTTTAGGTCTTTAGTTTATAAATAATGAATTTTTTTATTGAAACTTTAAATTTTTGTTAAAAAGATTTGTCAAAAAACTTTTTAAAAATTAAACGTTTAAACATTATGTGATTCCGTATACTTTTCCATATTTTAATGTTTGAAATAATATGATTCAGAAACCTATGGAATATAAAGTTTAAATAGACCTTTCATATTAGATCATTAAATTTAATGGAGCGATTTTGTAGGCATTAGGTTTTAACTCTAATAAGAAGATACATATTTTTTCTTATTATTTGCAAATATTTTTCGGATGCGTCTTGGCTGTTCCTTCTCTAAGAAAAAGTGATTCCATTTTGTGTCTGCTTACATAAGAATAGGAAAATTTTTCCTTTTTAAATTTAATAAGATACAATAAGGAACGTTACCATGCTACACTGAAGAATATTTCCAGTGCACCTGATGATCGCTTTCTTTTAGCAGTCATTCGTCTCAAATAACAACGTCTTCTGTATGTCGCTGCTTTCGCGAATTCTCGATCACAATCCGTGGTAACTCTGTCGTTAGAGAATTGGACTCCTGTCAGGAGGGGTCAGGGTTCGATCCTCGACTCACCGAGTACTTGCGATGTACGTGCTCGTAAAATCAGTGCGAAAGTCTGTAGCCGGTTGAAAAAAAAATTTCCAAAATCCCTGTACACACACGATACTCCACGTGTACAGGCATTTTGAGAATTTTTTTTCCACCAGCACATCTGTGTCTAAATTGTGGAAGCGGCCTTACAAATTGTGATGACAGGTTTTCGGATCATTCTTAGGGATGTTTCCGAGTCCATCACCAATAGCCAAATGGGTACTTAATTTACGTCGCATTAGAACTGCACATCTACCGATTACGCCATCTGGGGAGAAGATGTGTTCCATTTCTAGAGCCTCTCCCTTTCCTATTCTCCATTACGATGTTTCCCCTTCCATAATGTTTTTCGTATTTGGATTGCCAGAAATTTGTAAAATTTTCATGATCCTTACTTTAAACATTATGTTTAATACAGTTTTGAGTGCCATATAGTTTCCTTGATTGAAATTTTTTAATTGGTTTAAAAATTAAGACAAACTAAAGTACTACATATTCCTTTGACTATCCACATGCTATTATTGAAAGCATGCCTAGTGCTACCATAGTTAAAAAGTTCTGATATGTGCCACCTGTAGCACATTTACATTTCCCTCATTTTTTCCATTCTTTAAAAGTTGTTTCTACACCATTATTATGTTGGGGTCATGCCTTTCCCAAAGTATTTATAACAAGTCATTTTTAAATAATTTCCTAATTATTTTATTTCCAATGTTGAATAGCCGATCTATTTCAGCAAGGTAACAAATTTTCAAATGCATTGGCCAGTTCACCTTTTTTCCACGTTCATATTTCATTTAATACTAAATGGAAACAGGTGGCAGAGTAAGAGCAGATGTACGACCACAAAGGGTTAAATCCGCATTTGGAGAAGTGAACTTGTAAAAGTTTGGTTTTAGAAAAAAGAACAGATTCTCCTACAACTATACTAATGATATTTAAACCCGTATCATTAGGAAGAACGCCATAATTTTTTCTTTTAGAGAGTATTAGATTCTTTATAGAAACTAATTTTGTTTTGCTAATAAGTTTGAAAATGATCGAAACCTGTTTTGTCATCAATCACAGATCTCTAGATAAAAGTAACCTAAGCTTGTTAGAAAATAATGTTCAACATTTTGATTGACGATAAACTTATAGCACTGTGTGGCGAAATTTTTCTGTTTTGTACGATCAGGAAATGATTGAAACTTGCATTGTCACTAAAACTTTAGTAAAGATTTTTTGGACAGTGGCAAGTCCGGAACTTTATTCGGACTTTGTGATGGAATTTTCAATAATAGATAATAGATGATAGAATATATTCTTAGAAATGTTCACCTTGCATAAATGTTTACTATTCT